GCGCTGCAGGCCCTGCGGGTGGAGAACCAGAGCCTGCAGGTCCTGCGCGAGGAGAACCGGCTCCTGCAGGAGGAGAACCGCGCGCTGCACGTGCTGCGCGAGGAGCACCGGCTGTTCCAGGAGGAGAACAAGGCGCTGTGGGAGAACAACAAGCTGAAGCTGCAGCAGAAGCTGGTCATCGACACGGTGACCGAGGTCACCGCCCGCATGGAGATGCTCATCGAGGAACTGTACGCCTTCATGCCGGGCAAGAACAAGGACCCCAAGAAGCCCCCCAGGGTCTGAGGCCGCCAAGGCGCACAGAGGCACCGAGCTGGGGCACAGCCTATTGGGCAGAAAAACATCTCCTGCCTTTTGATTTCCTCCCCTGCCTTCACCCACTAGCTCGTGCCTGTTGAGCAGAATGATCGGCCTTCCTAAACTCAGAGCAGTAATAAAAGCGAGAGGAGGCTGGGTCTAGTTAACGCGGTGCTGCGCTGCCTTTTTCTTTCGTGTTTATTTTTTTTTAGAGCAGTTTTAGGTTTACTGCAAAATAGAGGGGACGTTACAAAGATTTCACATAGACTTCCTGCCTCACGCATGCGTACTCTCTCCCATTAACAGCCCTCATCAGAGGGCACACTTGTTAAAATTGTCGAGCTTCCATTGGCACATCATCATCATCACCCAAAGTCCATAGTTTACATTAGGGTTCACTCCTGGTGCTGTGTATCCTATGGGTTTGGACAAATGTCTGGTGATATGTGTTCACTTATGTATCACAGAGTATTTTTACTGCTCTAAAATCCTGTGATAAATAAGTGAATACATGTGCTCCCCTGTTCATTCCTCCCTATTAACCTCTGGTCCTTTTACTGTCCCCACAGTTGTATCAGAAGGTCATAGAGTGGAATTGTACAGTGTGTACGTAGCCTTTTCAGAATTTGCTTTCACTTAGTAATGTTCCTTTAAGTTTCCTCCACATCTTTTCATGCTCAGTTCTCTTTAGCCCTGAATAATATTCCATTGTTTGGATGTACCATAGTTTATTTATCCATTCACCTACTGACATCTAAGTTGCTTCCAAGTTTAGGCAATTATGAATCTGGCTGCTTTTTATTCTCATTATTCCCAGTCTATTCCTTCATTATATTCTGTTTATCTCTTTCATTTCCTATCTTTTTTCCCCCTTCCCTTTCCTCCTCATCCTCCCCTCTTTCTCTGTCTTTCTTGCTTTCTAGTCATCTTCAATTTTCAAGGTTAATGGCGTGGGAGATGGCCATAACCATAGAAAAGGCCACTCTCCAGTGGTTCTCAACCTTCCTAATGCCACGACCCTTTAATACAGCTCCTCATGTTGTGGTGACCCCCAACCATAAAATTATTTTCGTTGCTACTTCATAACTGTAATTTTGCTACTGTTATGAATTGTAATGTAACTATCTGGTATGCAGGATGTATTTTCAGGGGTCGCGACCCACAGGTGGAGAACCGCTGCTCTAGACAAGTGCTTTGCAGGTGTGTGCTGTTGGGGTTGGATAACTCCTTGTTGTGGGGGCTCTCCTGTGCATTGTAGGATGTTTATCAACATCTTTTCTTCCTTTTTCACTAGATGCCAGTAACAGCCACCCAACCCCCAGTTGTGACAACCAAATATGTCTCCAGACATCACCAAACGTCCCCTCAGTGGACAAAATCCCGGATCCCGGTCCCCTCTTCCCCACATTGCTCTAGGTTTCTTAAACCACATTCCTTGAAACACGAATCCCTGAACTGCTCTGAGAAAATGAAGGTTTCAGGGAAATGCTGTCGCAATTCTCTGCGGCAGGTTCATAATCCCACTCCCAACTTAAAGGGTCTCAGAAGTCCTACGAAGAAGCAGCCTGCTTAGCTTTGGTGAACCAGAAGAGCCAAATCTTTTTTCATGTCAGCCTGCTGATCATCCAGGTTGGGCTGTCGCAATTCTCTGCGGCAGGTTCATAATCCCACTCCCAACTTAAAGGGTCTCAGAAGCTTACTCATGGTTCACACTTCTCAGC